GTCTTCTCTATTGTGTCACGGGTACTTTTGAGATCGGAGGATACTATTGTCACCAGGTCCGTCTCCTGAGTGGCAATCTTGAGTACGTAGTCACCAATGTGATAATGCAAAGCTGTTCAGCAACATCGGTGGGAAGGACAGAGCACTTATCATTGTTGATCGGCAAACCTTACTTGATAAACCAGGCGTGCAGGAGATCAAACGTATCCTGCAATCGTTCGGCGACCTCGAGGCTGGACAATTCCGACCATAACTTGGCGACGCCTGCATAGATCAGACAGTCCGTTTGTACCATACTTGGTAGGTCACTGACATAAACCTTGAAAAATTCCGGTTCGGAAGGCTCGCCAAACAACCGCCTCGTGGGGCGACTTAGGCGGCTCAGGAATTTCCCGTTCCGGCGAATGGTTCGACGGCAGGGTTCCAAAACGTGGTGCGTTTTCGCCTGGCAAGCTTTCTCCCTAAAAAAGCCACAGATGTCCGTCTAACAACACTGCGACATGGCGGATGTGACTCACCACTAAACAAAGTCACTGCCCCTTGTCTCTTTTGGAGACATTGTACACCGGCAAGCAATCCGAGCATCGGGTCTTGTCGCTGACTTCGGGAGTGTTAGGCCCCTGGCATGGCTTATCGTCATCCGAAAGGCGTATGAACTGAATGTCCAGTCACCAGCTCCCAACAGGTGCGAATCCCTTATCTTGCGCTGCTGCCTTGTGGGTTAGGTCCTTTGGCCATAGGCTCGAGGCAGTGGTCTCCAACAGACAAGGTACCTACCTCGGCCTAGGCAACTGGGTAGTATCTCGCCTACTGATGAAGTTACAAGCACAACCATTCACACGCTCTCCTGCTGCCACGATGCTATTCACTCCTGCTACTATGCCAAGTTCACAAGCACATGCCACAATTTCACCTACCCTTAGCTTGTACCATTCACACCCATTTTTACCTAATTTCGCTATGGCGGTCAACCCCATCTACATCGATGAATCTGATTCTCTGACACCTGCCAACTCAACTGCACAATACAAAACAGAGAGCTGCCAGTCCCGAAGTCTCCCATATTCGATCCTGCAACCCGGAACGCAGTTCAAACTTGCATCCTTTAACGTACGCACACTACTGCAGATCGGTCAGCAAGCTGGACTTGCACGCACACTAGAAACCCTTGAAATCGATGTCTGCTGCCTGAGTGAAACGCGACTCCAGGACCCTAACTCGATCTACCAGCTGGCATCACCGTCCCACCCACGTACCCGCTTCCATCTCCGCCTTTCTGGTGACGCCGAGTCTGCCGCATCTGGGCAAGCTGGTGTTGGAGGCACCCTCAGTGCAAGAGCCGATGCTGCTCTGATTGATTGAATTCCGATCAATAGTCGCCTTTGTGCAACGAGGCTCCATGGCTTTTGTAGAGTTAACAGACGTCGCGTCGAAAGGCGTGCTCTCTCTCTCTCTCTCTGCCTAAGCGCCCACTGACTGTAACTCGGACACAGTCAAAAAGCAGTTCTACCAGAACCTTCATGAGCTGCTTCTAAGGGCTCCTAAAACAAACATCATTGTTTTGGCAGGAGAGTTGAACGCGCGTGTCGGTCGGCTGCTGTTATGTGAGCGCCAACGCGGGGGACCGCATGGATATGATGGTGTTCGCTCAGACAACGGAAAGAGACTACTCAGTCTTTGTACTGATCATCAGCTTTTCCTCTCCAGCACGAGCTTTCGTCATTCTGGACACCAGTACGCCACTTGGCGCCCCCCACCCATCATCAACCCAGCGCTTGTCACAAATTGACCACATAGCCAAAAGTCGCAGGTGGCCCGGCAGCGTACGCGACTGCCAATCATTTTGGTCAACATGCGTCGATGCTGATCTTGCATTGGTATGTGCGACCGTTTGCATGCGTTCTCGGTGGTTCACCTAGGTCCAAACACACCCGATTGAACATCTACACGTTGGATGACCCAATGGTGAAGAAGGAGTATCAACAAATGCTTCGTGAAAATCTCGCTCTCTCTTCCACTCTGGATGTTGATCAACACTGGTCAAGTCTACAAAAAGCCATGCTGTCGGCCGGTTTGTCCAGCTGTGGCCTCATTCGCTCTACTCCCAAAATCTGGATCTCGGGAAGATCCTCGGAATTGCTGGACCGCCGACGGGCGGTGCCTGCTGGAGCAGAGCACAACGAACACCGCCGGTTTATTACGCAACAGCTGAAAACAAGCCTTCGCTCTGATCGTAAATTCTGGTGGTCAAAACAAACTGATGAGATGGAAGCGGCTGCATCAGCTGGTAACTTCCGCCGTCTCTTTTGCATACTCAGGGCCACCGGTTGCAATTCCCACGATATCAGCCAGACGATTTGCGAATCAGACGGCACGAAGATCACCAACCTTCACAAGTGATTGGATCGCTGGGCAGAACATTTCGCTCTTCAATTCAACCACCCAACACAGCCCCTGTGGCACATCCAGCCCCAACGGATAATGCTTGGCCTGTCTCCACAGGCCCCCCAACTGAAGCAGAGATGCGAGATGCAATCGAATCTTTGAAACGCCACAAAGGTCGTCGTGCCGACAGCCTAGCACTGGCTCTATTCAAAGATGGCGGAAGTGTATTTGTCAGCGAAATCCTATCGCTGTTCACGAAAGTTTGGACAAAGGAGAAGGTTCCGAACTCATGGGAAGCATGGGTCATTGTTCCGGTTCACAAGAAAGGCTCCCGCGACGATTGCTGTAACTTCCGCGGAATCTCGTCGATCTCTGTCGCATCCACAATGATCGTGTCCGGTCTACTTCGCAGGCTTACAACGACCAGATGGGCGGTTTCCCGAGAAGAACAAGCAGGATATATATATATATATATATATATATATATATATATATATATATATATATATATATATATATATATATATATATATATATATATATATCGAAGATCTTCCCGAGATCCAGATTTTGGGAGTAGAGCGAATGAGGCCACAGCTGGACAAACCGGCCGACAGCATGGCTTTTTGTAGACTTGACCAGTGTTGATCAACATCCAGAGTGGAAGAGAGAGCGAGATTTTCACGAAGCATTTGTTGATACTCCTTCTTCACCATTGGGTCATCCAACGTGTAGATGTTCAATCGGGTGTGTTTGGACCTAGGTGAACCACCGAGAACGCATGCAAACGGTCGCACATACCAATGCAAGATCAGCATCGACGCATGTTGACCCAAATGATTGGCAGTCGCGTACGCTGCCGGGCCACCTGCGACTTTTGGCTATGTGGTCAATTTGTGACAAGCGCTGGGTTGATGATGGGTGGGGGGCGCCAAGTGGCGTACTGGTGTCCAGAATGACGAAAGCTCGTGCTGGAGAGGAAAAGCTGATGATCAGTACAAAGACTGAGTAGTCTCTTTCCGTTGTCTGAGCGAACACCAGCATATCCATGCGGTCCCCCACGTTGGCGCTCACATAACAGCAGCCGACCGACACGCGCGTTCAACTCTCCTGCCAAAACAACGATGTTTGTTTTAGGAGCCCTTAGAAGGAGCTCATGAAGGTTCTGGTAGAACTGGTCTTTGACTTTGTCCGAGTTACAGTCAGTGGGCGCTTAGGCAGAGAGATAGAGAGAGCACGCCTTTCGACGCGACGTCTGTTAACTCTACAAAAGCCATGGAGCCTCGTTGCACAAAGGCGACTATTGATCGGAATTCAATCAATCAGAGCAGCATCGGCTCTTGCACTGAGGGTGCCTCCAACACCAGCTTGCCCAGATGCGGCAGACTCGGCGTCACCAGAAAGGCGGAGATGGAAGCGGGTACGTGGGTGGAGTGGTGACGCCAGCTGGTAGACCGAGTTAGGGTCCTGGAGTCGCGTTTCACTCAGGCAGCAGACATCGATTTCAAGGGTTTCTAGTGTGCGTGCAAGTCCAGCTTGCTGACTGATCTGCAGTAGTGTGCGTACGTTAAAGGATGCAAGTTTGAACTGCGTTCCGGGTTGCAGGAGTGAATATGGGAGACTTCGGGACTGGCAGCTCTCTGTTGAGTATTGTGCAGTTGAGTTGGCAGGTGTCAGAGAATCAGGTTCATCGATGTAGATGGGGTTGACCGCCATAGCGGAATTAGGTAAAAATGGGTGTGAATGGTACAAGCTAAGGGTAGGTAAAATTGTGGCATGTGCTTGTGAACTTGGCATAGTAGCAGGAGTGAATAGCATCGTAGCAGCAGGAGAGCGTGTGAATGGTTGTAGTTGTAAGTTCATCAGTAGGCGAGATACTACCCAGTTGCCTAGGCCGAGGTAGGTACGTTATCTTTGGAAACCACTGCCTCGAGACTTTGGCCAAAGGACCTAACCCACAAGGCAGCAGCGCAAGATAAGGGATTCGCACCTGTTGGGAGCTGGTGACTGGACATTCAGTTCATACGCCTTTCGGATGACGATAAGCCATGCCAGGGGCCCAACACTCCCGAAGTCAGAGAAAAGATCCGATGCTCGGATTGCTTGCCGGTGTACAATGTCTCCAAAGGAGACAAGAGGCAGTGACTTTGTTTAGTGGTGAGTCACATCCGCCATGTCGCAGTGTTGTTAGACGGACATCTGTGGCTTTTTTAGGGAGAAAGCTTGCCAGGCGAAAACGCACCACGTTTTGGAACATTGCGGGCATGCAGCGGTTGCATGGGATGGAACAGTAAGAAAATGGCAACTGAGTATGTATAATAAACATCTTGCCATCCTTAGGTTTTTGAAGGTGGACGAACCGTTGCTGTATATGTAAAGTGGCTATAAAACGAGCAGTATGGGTGCTAGGAAGCAGTCCGCTTTAACATATTTCTATATATCGTCGGTTTTATGACAATGAAGAGAAGATAAATCGCTGCTAGAAATGTGATTCCCCGGACGAAGTGAACTTAAGCACACGTAGGTCAGATAAATATGTCAAGTCCTACCGCAAGCATACACTCAGCCCATTATGACGATTTCGGAAGGGTATGAAAAAGTCAAGGTAATAAACGCTAACCGTTGGGAAGGTCTTGTTTGTTAGCGAAGACAAGAATGACTGCATCCTGCATTTCCCTATCGTTGGCTATCTTGTGCAATTCTAGCTTTGCCTCCTCGATACGATCTTGGTCAGCGCTGTCGACTACAAAGATGAGACCTTGGCTGCCAGTATAGTAGTGTCGCCATAGAGGTCGAATTTTTTCCTGTCCACCAACATCCTAAAAAGAGAAAAGATGGACCTCAAAGGGGATAGAACGGAGCACACCCACCCAAACATTGAACCGTACGTTCTTGTACTGTACTGTTTCCACATTAAAGCCAACAGTTGGAATAGTGGTCACATGATTACCAAGTTTGAGCCGATAGAGGATGGCTAAAGTTGGGGTGTAAAGATCATAGACGATGCATATACTTGTTTTTCCAGCTGCATCGAGACCAAGCATTAAAGCACGAATTTCCTTCTTCCCAAACAACCGTGAAAAAAAGCTGCCCATTGAGTGGGAAGAGCGTAGTGAATAGCAATACAAGCGGCAATCGACGAATGGAAATGAACACGTGAAAGCCGTTACGTCGAGGTGGTTAACATGGAAATATCCGGCTGAAAAGAGGAAACGAAACAATGGTGATAAGAAGCCATAGAAAAGCGAGTGGCATAATACGTCGCTTGCACCATGACCATATATTCATTGCGGAAATGAAAGGGATTCTCTTTGGTCGAAGAATGGGAAGACGATGAGTTACCACAGAAACAATGGAAGTTTGAGATGTGAAAGGTCAACACCGAAATTAATATAGCGGTTTCCGTGCCGGTTGGGGTTGTTAAGCATTAAGTGGAAACAATAGACAAACTTACAACCCCTGCTTGGAACTGGAAGACCGGTATCCTGTTCGGGAAAAAAAGTTAGTAGAAAGCACGCTTTGGCGTGAGAGTAGTGCGTTCGTGTCGTTGTGACATGTATATTAACTCACGAAGAGAACTTGAGCAGTCTGTGAGAAGGCTCCCATCAAACGACTTTAAGGTACAGAGCAAAAGAAATTCGGGGATTGATTCCGACTTGTCTAGACATAGGCAGAAGTTCGCAAGGCATGGTGGTAAACATACACGTTAAAAGCAATTCGAATAGGGGCGTTTGCTCAGAGTGTGAATTAAAAAGGTTCAGGAATGTAATAGGCAGGTGATGTTATCCATGGTTGGCGGTATCCGTTTGCGGATTTACCTGACTGCAACTGAGAACAGCCAGAGAACGCATGCGCTTACACAAGGAAAATGGGCGGTTTGCGCCGGACCGCCCACAGCTCAATCCACACAGACCCCATATCTAGTATAAACCAGAAGGAATGAGAATGGGAGGCATGTTGGTGAGAGACATAATTGATTCTGAGCCAGCTCATACTCCTTCACTACACATCATTCCAATGACAATGGAGAAACACGTATACCAGATGTACACAATGCGGTGGCTGGGCCGCAGCTAGTTCCACATTAGATAGGACCAGTTTTTGCGTCTAACATTATCACGAAGACGGTGTATCCTGTCTTCCTCAGAAACAAGTCTAGTGGGGCTAGTAATCGAAATGGCGGTTCTGGATAGGTAGGTACCTTACCAGCATTCGCAACAAGTGCAGTCAAACCTGGGATATCAATCAGAAAACGCTGTCAAAATGCGGCAGCCATCTGTACAGACTAACAGCAAGGACGACGCAGCAATCGTGTTACATCCGCCACATTATCAATCTCTGCTCTGATCAAGTTATTAGCAGCTAGGTTTTCACAGATTCGACTCCTGATGATCTCCGGACACTTGAGAAGAACGCTAGTCAGACTAACAGATGTATAGTTATTGGGTGAGGATTTAGAACTACCCTTATGGATCGCAATTATAACTGCTTCCTTCCAATTCCGTGGTATTCCCCCTCACGAAGAGACGTGTTGTACAACTCAAGAATAGGAAGCTGGAGTGTGTCCGCAACCCGCTTGACAATAACGGGATGCACATTATTGGGGCCAGGTGATTTGTATGGGTTTAAGTTCCTCAGTACAGTGAAAACAACTGTAGCAGTTATGACGATTTTGTCCATTTTGCACTCACTTACGCGATGCAACGGCACTGAATACCCATTGGCGGCTCAGTGACCTTTCTGGAAAACACGCAGCAACTCCTGCGCCTTATCAAGGTCTCCCGTAGTCTGTTTCTCATCTGTGATTTAATTGCCAACCACTTCCTTTAGAGAGGCTTTTGACTGGACGTAGCTGTAATAACGCTTCGGATTGGTTTTTGCGTTTTGCACTAGCCTACGCTCATAGGAGTACTTGGTTTGCCTCTGCAGTTTGGTCGCCAAATTTCGAGTTCTTTTGTAACTAGGCCATCTGCGGAAAACGCTAGACTCATGGAACCTTTTCCATTGAATATTCCGCCGTTTCAACACCGGATCAATACCTCGGCGCCACCAGTGAAGCTCATCCGAATGGCGTCTTCTGCACAGGGGAGCGAACTCCTCTTGCAAATGCGTGAGGCCACTTTTGATCACATGCCACCACTGTTAAAGTGTTGCCTTCTCCTGTGCAGAGAACCAAGTAATGCATGCGGCTTCATCCGTGGTATTAATCCGGTTTAGCTTCCGCATCAATCGGGGTTTAGCTGATAACTTCGGTACACAAATGGAGAAGAAAATAAGGAAATGATTGCTCTTACCTATAGGAGGCTCAACATTAATGGCTGACAAGCAACCATACTTGGTGATCACAACGTCTAGAGGAGATGTTCCAGCCACGACTTCTAGTTGGAAAATTGACGTGCTGCACAAAGGCGTTTTCCTGTACCCACTGTACTAAGTCACCCTCCAAGGAGTTCGCCCTATTGAGAGCGTGCCCCCAGTCGGCATGTGGTAGGTTCAGGTAGGCTGCGATCACAAAACTTGGTGCAGTAGGCGCAGATCATTTTAGTAGATCAGTAAGCTCCATGTCTTCTCTTCGCGTTGAGGACAGGCTATGATAAACACGTACAATTAATTCAACTTTATCCTGCACCTTCAGAAAGCAAGAAGTAACCTGAACACTGCGTGCACATGGCAAACGGAGCTTCCCAATGACGGTAGTGCCACCTTATAAGCAAGAGCACTCCACCTCCATGTAGATTCTTAGAACGGTCTATTCTGTATCCCGAGAAGTCAACTAGTAGGCAAGCATTTATTGAGTCATTTGGTGAGAACCAGGTCTCAGTGATCGCAATAACTTCCGCCAATCTACAACTCAGCGTCAGTTCCCCCCACCTGTTTCTTAAGCTACAAGAATTTGTGTACCAAATATTCAGTAGCGTTTTATGCAGTTACGCATCACTGTCAGCCATACTTTTAAAGCTCCCCTCGAGAGAAGAACCCGAAGGGGTGCCCCATTTTTTGTCACTTTCAGTGGGAAATACCGGACCGTAGAACACTTATGCGGCGAACGAACAGGGAGTGATTGTGTAGCTGTGAGACACCAGTAAGGTTGGTAGATGTTGGAAGGTGGTGTACTATAAAGTGCATAAAAAGTTTCATTACATATGTAGGTGGTTTATAGTTACAGTCCCAGTGTCCATAAAATTCCCTCGGAATAGTGCTTTATATTTATCACCGCCGCTATTTATTTTCAAGCTTTTGGTGACAGGTGCCATGTTGAACGATACAGCGTAGTTTCGCCGTTCAGTGAAACGCCGTATGTTGGTTTCAAGTCAGTGCTAACGGATGTGAGACATTTCCAGCTTGAAATGGGTACAACATTTCGTCGTGGAAGTGGTAACTACTGAAGAGTACCGAAGGGAAACTGAGAAGTCGCTTCCCGAAGGAGTTGCATATCAGTACGTACAAGTTAAGTATGTTCATTGTAAACGAGCCAATGCTAGTGAAAAGCGGTAAATCGGCTGTAAAGGTATAACTACGTCATTGCAGTTACCGTTGCTATAACTGTCTAGATCGATTCTCAGCGAAATTGAAAGCGATGTGTTATGAGATTGGTTACGCCGACATGCGCCATTGGCACAGCTTTCAAGGTAGGAACATCACATCACACATCATCAGCAGTACATCAGCCATCTGAACTGATGCGTCGCTGCCATACAACCACGATGACCCATGGGATAAAGAATAATAAGAGGGAAGAGGGATTTACCTGAAAAGCTTAATGCCCTAAGCGAACATTCAGGGTCAAGGCGCCTACACCTTGTGTAGACAACATACCGTCACAAACAGCTGGCTATCATACAAAGATAAGGCGCCATCGGCGAGACAGCTTCCTTGCGGAAATGGGCGGGCAGGAGCTGACCCTGAAATTGCCCATTAGTAGTAATAGTAGTAATCTCAGCTGTCTATCAACTAGACAAAGAGCCAACAGAAAACCATGGAGATCAGTGGATAAGAGACAGTCATTGCGTCATAATCATCGTGGCATGGTAGTTGAAGGTGAGCAACACACTTCAGCTAATATGCCGCAGGAAGAATGGAACATTTTGACAAAAAGTAGAACAAAACATTTTTAGTTTGTTTTTCACACGCCGATTTTTCTCTTTTTTGTCATTTTCAATGTTTGTAGTATTAAACATGTGAATCAATACAATACTGTACACAATTCTTCCACTGATTCCGGTTGCGGGTCATGTCTTCAAGAGTGCTAAGCCATTGGCACTCCTCATCTTTGGGTCCCCATCCTGGAAGACGTACGGATCCAACAGCGGCTAGACACAAGATCAGCGATTTCATGTGTTGCCGCCAAGTGGAAGGCTGACAGCCACGCGATCGGCTCCATCCAGGTCCTTGACGAGCGAATAGAGCGCGACGCGGTAGACGCTCAGGTGCCATGCGTAGGACGTGACCGAGCCATCTTAACTGGCGCAACAAAACCAGTTTGTTGAAGGGAATACTCGCATTCCCCAAGATGCGACGTCGAACGTCATTACTATTAACTCGATGTTGCCACCAAACACGAGCGATCCTCCTTAAGCAACCGTTATCGAAGGCAGAAAGACGACGCATGTCTTCCACGCGAATCGGCCAGGACTCGCACCCATACAACAATACTGAGCGAACTGATGCGCTGTAAACGCGGCCCTTTAGTGAGAATGAGACGTCGCGACGACGCCACAAGTGCCTCAGATTGACAAATGCTGATCGAGCTTTAGCGATACGAAGAGAAACTTCTTTGTTGATAGTGCCGTCAGCAGAAACACAGCTCCCAAGGTAGACGAAACTATCTACCTGTTCAAGTTGTGCACCTGCGAGAGTGAGCACGGGAGCAGGTGAAAGCCAATCCTTGAGCAGTACTTTACACTTCGATGGGGCGAAGCTCATGCCATACTTAGGAGCTTCAACCGCCAAACGATCCAGAATGAGTCGCATACCCTGAGGATCGTCACCAAGTAAGGCGATATCATCAGCATAATCTAAGTCGGTTGCGCGCTCACCCGGTAGAAGCTCTAGGCCAAAATGTTGGAAACCTTTTAGAGCATTTGACAGAACGCCT